TTTTCAAGACTGCATAAATGGACTTAAAATGGGCGTTTCTTACCCTACTTGTATTATGTTAATGTATGTAAATACTTATATTTATGCTTGAAACTACTACTAACTTATCAAACGATCCCTCATCTTTGAAAATACATGTTTGTCTTCATTCACCAGGATCTTGAAAACTGACCAAATCGACGTGATCAAATCCATGGTCCTTTATTATTATATAAACATCCGAAAACATTAAAACGTTTGAAAAAATAACCTCGTCTCACTTGTTTGTATTTTTCACTTGATTGCTGAAGTAATGAAGAATTGAAAACTCATAAGGGAATATTATAGTTTTTGTAAGTTTTATCTTAATATCTTAAAAACTTGTAGACTTATTGAAAAATTATAAAAGAAGAAGAAGAAAGGCTAAAGATAAGTTTTAAATTAATCTTTCGTGGCCAATAACAATTGGCTTAGACCTAAGACATCATAATATTACTATTACAATACGGACAAATGCCTTTTATTTTCCCCCATACAAAATCGACCCAGCCTAATGTATATGTAAGTAAAAAATTCTAGCTACCATTTTTAGCCACAACGACTTTTTATACCTTTCATGAGCATGAAATGGTATTATAACTTTGGTCCGATGTTTGTAAGTACCAGAACAAAAAGAGATAGACCCATGAAAATGTATACTTATATGATCAGAACGTCGAGCTGAGTTGATTTAGCCATGTCCGTCTGTCCGTCTGTCCGTCTGTCTGTCTGTTTGTATGCAATCTAGTCTCTCAGTTTTCGAGATATCCGGATCAAATTTGGTAGGTGGGTGTATTTTTATAATGTATTAATCATTTGTCGGAACCGGAAGAATCGGACCACTATAACATATAGCTCCCATACAACTGATTGTTCAGATATGAGATTTTTCATTATAACTTCTCCATTTATGCAGCTACGAACATGAAATTTTGCAATACTTGCACCCATTATCAACAGAATACTTACAGTGAAAATTACAAAGATCGGGTCACTATAACCTATAGCTCCCATACAACTGATTGTTCAGATATAAAATTTTGCGTTATAACTCCTTTATTTATATAGCTAGGAACATGAAATTCCGCACTGTTTTCAATAATTATCAACAAGAAACTTACAGTGAAAATTAAAAAGATCGGGTAACTATAACTTATGGCTCCCATACAACTGATTGTTCAGATATGAGATTTTTCGTTATAATTCATCCATTTATGTAGCTAGGACCATGAAATTTCGCGCTGTTTTCACTCATTATCAACAGAAGACTTACAGCGAAAATAACAAAGATCGGGTCACTATAACCTGCAGCCCCCATACAACTGATTGTTCAGATATGAGGTCTTTTATCATAACTCCTTCATTTATGCAGCTAGGAACATGAAATTCCGCACCATTTTTACTCATTATTAACAGAATACTTACAGTGGAAATAACAAGGATCGGGTGACTACAACATATATCTTCCATACATCTGATTGTTCAGATATGGGATTTTACTGTAAAACTCCTTTATTTGAACAGCTAAAACCGATAAATTTCGTAAGATATTTTATAAATAATAATACAAAGTCTACTGAGAAAATCGTCAAAATCTATGCTGTATAAGCTTTATCTCCTATAGCACTGATTGTTAAGATACCAGTTTTTGCCATATATCTCCTTTATGTACGAAACTAAACCCAATAAATTGTGTTACCGGTTTACATACCGATCACATAGCGGTGAAAATCACTTAAATTGGTGTCATATAAAGTATATCTTCCATACCTGTGATTGTTTAGATGCGATTTTTTATATAAGTATGTAACTCTTCTATCGATGTATGCAGATGTATTCAAAAGCAGTAATCTGTCAAAGTAAAATTTGCAGATGTTCATGAAAGGTATGAAGCCTTCGGCATAGCCGAAGACAGCGCTGCTCTTACTTGTTTTAGCTCTTTTTTAGCCCCATTTTTAAAGGAATTTAGCTACGACTAAAAATTATGCGCGGCAACACTGGTATTAATGCCATCATCGCTCAATTAAAGTGAATTTAATAAAATAAAATTGTAATGCCTTGAAAATATGCGAAAATCACTCACTGAAGGCGACAGTCCATGGAGCACAGCAGTCATTCAGTCAGCCAGTCAGTTACTTAGTTATTTGATTATTTATTCACTTTTGTCAAAAGAAAAATTTGTTGCC